AAAGATTTTGATCCAAAAATCTGTATTAATTTCACAGATTTATTTGACCTGCACTCCTCTAACTTCACATTGGAGGTTTTATCAATGTGAGATATAGTTGTCACAGCTTTGATATTATTGCCTCAAAAATATAAAACAAATATGCAACCTGACAGCAGGCATAATGGCTGCCAGATTAAACTGAGGTGAGTCACTAAGATAAATTAGGTCTTCCCTTCAGAGGAGGAATTAGACCAAAACTAGGCAATCCTCTATCCCCACATATCTACAGATTTGAATGCCTTTGAATTGAGTGTATAAAAAGATCAAAAATAGATATGAAGAAGAAGATTCTTGAAGGTCACTTCTTTCAAAATAAGTGTGCACAGGGGACACCCATTCTCCTTCATCAGTGAGGCTTTCCCCATGGCTTCAGAGTAACTTCAGCAGGACTGCTGAGTCCAAAATCTTCTCTGCTACTAGGAATCACTGGGCTAAGAAAATTAAAGTGGAGCAGTGGCCTGCTATATGTGGGAAGTGCTCACTTCTAAAGCTATCAGAAAGACAAGGTTTTTGGGGACAGCTGTGACCCTGGTAGGAGTGGTAGCCTTTGTCACTGTACAGGAATTTTAGACTTCTGGTTTACCATCAAACCTTAATTCCCCTGGTACACAAACTGAAGCTGGGAATGGTAGCACACACCTGTCATCTTAGCATCTGGGAAGCCAGGACAAGAGAAGAGCTGCTAGTTCAAGGACAGCCTGAGCTAGATGGGAGTCTAAAACGTACCTGGAAAAAAAATACCCTCCACACACACACCTAATCAAACTGAACAATATTGGAGTCGTGATTCATCTTATGGACCATGGATATCACGAGGTCATGATCCTTACAAGAAACATGATCCTTACACTTCCGGGCAGTTCCATTGCCCCCTGGCTCTCTAGAACAGAGATCTCTACAGAGAGCTGTGTCCTGGGCAGGGAATAGAAGGGTAGACTTCAGCATGATGGACTGAAACTTGGGGACCACACACTCAGGAAGCTACTCAGAGGAAGCACTTGGGAGGCCGTATGAGTGTGTGTGAGTTTTCTTGAGGCCAATTTTTACATTGCACATTCAGAGTGTGTTCCACCAGGGTAGATTTAACAGTGAACAAGCATTGGAAACTCTTAGGCAAACAGAGGTTCTAAGGGCTGTAATAAATGACATATTGCAATAATATGTAATAATAATATTGTAATAATGACATATTGCAACCCTAAGCACTAAAGCAGAGAGCTCCAGGAACAGAAATTCAACACTCAGTGAAGACCTCAGCAAGGCTTGCCTGAAGAGTTGGTGGTTTTAGCCCTAAAACAGAGGCTCACAGACTTATAGTGAAGAGATAGACAGTAAACAGGCTATATCCAAACGTTGCTTACATAAACCCTTACCTTGTTCTTTCCTTTGGCTGTGGGTAGTACATCCTGGGAAGTGATGTACTTTGTGCCCATTATCATTAGCTGGAGACATTCTAGGATGATAAGTGACCTTCCCAAGGGGGAGGGCAGGTGGCCAGGCAGGCAATGGGAGGGATGTCTGTGACCACACAGGCAAACCTCTTTTTCATCCCAACAACCCTCAGATTCTAACGACTTACCTTCTTGGAGAACATAATTATTTCAGGAGAGTCACTGACTCTGGGACAGAGAAACACCACCATGAAGTACAATTCTGTAGGAATCAGGTGCTGGGAACACAAGGATCTTAGCAGAAGGGACACCCACTTGGTGTCACTGGCTTGCAGCGCTATCCCTTCCCAGAGAGGCTTACTGGGCTGGACTTGGCTCTCGGGCTGTAGGTGCTGACAACTACCCCCTAGTAAGAACTACTCTAGTCCACCCAAACCGAGTCCAGCTGATCTTCCATTATATCAGGTTGTATTGCCAGTAACATGTTTGAAGAAAACAATATACGTTTGATGAAAGAATGATTGTACATTGCATAAAGCTGATGGAGAATATTAGCTTCAAGAAATTCAATAAACCTAAAACAGGAGAGAGGAATTTTGCCCAAAAAAGCAAAGGCACTAAATTGTTAGGGTTGTGGGATGTGTTACTTGGGTCAGCTATTAGCCAGCAAGCAGGGCACTGCCTACCTGAGGGAATAGATGGCCCTTGATCCAGGGAACCAGCATCTGCAAGCAAAATGCCTGCTCAGCGTGTGGCAGTTTGTAAGTCAGCAGAACTGTACTTTCCTCTTGGTGACCCCTGACCTTTCTTTAGAAGCACAGGTGATTCTGGAGTAGATCAAGTGCTTGACACACAGAGGCCCCAGGTTCAAACTTCAGTACAAAGAAGGAGAGAGAGAGAGACAGAGAGAGAGAGAGAGAGAGAGAGAGAGAGAGAGAGAGAGAGAGAGACAGAGAGAGACAGAGAGACAGAGAGAGACAGAGAGACAGAGACAGAGAGACAGAGAGAGAGACAGAGACAGAGAGACAGAGACAGACAGAGAGACAGAGACAGAGACAGAGACAGACAGAGAGGCAGAGACCGACAGAGAGAGACAGAGAAATAAGGAGAGGGAAGGAGGGGAGGAGGAGAAGAGAGAGGAGGAAGAGAGGAGAGGGAAGGGAAGAGGAAGGCTAGGAGAGGGGAGGAGAGGAGAGGGGAAAGAAGGAGAGGGGAAGGGAGGGAGAAAAGAGAAAAGAAATGCAGAAATATAAAGTGGGTGAGGACTGGCAGGAAGGTAGAAGGAAGATCGGGCTATAGGTGCTGACAACTACCTTCTAGTAAGAACTACTCTAATCCACCCAAGACCCCGGGCTTCTCAGTCCCTACCCACACTGAGAGGAGGGAAGAGCCTGACTAATAATCAGGTCTGCAAGGCTTCGTCAACAGTAATGAACACATAATTCACCTGGGTATTTTGAGTTAAGCTGTGGGACTGAGGTGGAGCCAAGGATAGTATTTGTTTTATTTCATTGTTTTATTTTATTTTTTATTATTTGGTACCAGGGATTGAACTCAGGACCTTGCACTTACCAAGAAGGTGCTTATGCTGCTGAGCTATGTGCCCAGACCCTAGGATAGTACTTTTAAAGAGTTCTAGAAGGAGGTAAACAATATTAAATCCAGAGCACTCCTGAAACAGTGAGATACTGTACTTATATGTGGGCCTAAATGTTTCAGCAACTGAATAGAGTCTATAACAAGAGGCAGGCATAGACTTGCTTCAGCATAAGTGGAGCCTGTGGACAGTTCCCACGCTGCTACTAGGGAAGGCTCTCCAGTAGGAAGCAATTGTGTAAAGATGATGGGAGACACTGACAAAGCTCCTTTTGTGATTAAATTCCATGAACCTAGTCTATAGAAGAGAAGGAGGGGAGGAGGGGAGGAGGGGAAGAGAGGGCTTGCATTATTTGCACTGCTAAAAATACACGTTTTGTTACCTCTGAGAGAGTGAAAATGGCTTCAGAGCTTGTGACAGTGAGCGTTCACCTCACTGCCTCTAGAGCTTGTGACAGTGCTGATCAATTTTTTGAGCTGGCTTTCCTAGGCTGTATGTAGTACGTGGGTATTTGCTTACACACCAGGCTGGACACTACTGTGATTATACATTTTAAACAAGTTTAATCATGGGGTCAGCACACTTTTGAGTGAAGCAGATTATATTCCACTGTATGGGTGGACTTCATTTAACCAGTTAAACGCCTCAGGGAAAAACACATGAGGGTTTCCTGCAAAAGAGAATTCTGCTTCCTGAAAGCCTTTCAGATTCTACTGCAAGCCTGTAAGAGCCATGTCCTGAAAATCCCCCTCTCTGTCTCTCTCCACGTGTGTATTTATAGGCATAGGTGGACAAATATGTATATATCAATCATAAACACACATGGAAATATGGGTGTGCAGATGTAAATATAGGCACATGGACATTTTCAGATATATATGGACAGATATGCACATGGACAAAATACTGACATGCGGGCAGATATATACATATAAATTTGTATAGCTATGGAGATATAGAGAAATATATATGTGGAAATATGGACATATGGGAAGATATCTATGCTCACATTTATATATGTGGAAATAATGTATAGATACAGGGATATATATATATATGGATATATATATATTACATATATAATGTATATTTGATATATTTGATGTTTGATATATATTATATATATTGGATATATATATTTCTATTATATATGTTATATATAATAGAAAGAGAGAGAGATACATTATTGGCGCTTGTATGGTCACTATATTAGTTTAGGATCCTACTGGCTAATAGTAGTGTCCATGTACTTCCTGCCTCTACACTAAAAAGAGGTGCAAGGTGAAGACCCAGCCCCTTGGAAAGCCTCCTATCCTGCTACGGTTTCTGTCTCAGTGTCCTCCAGGGCCTTGAACACTCTCAGGCTGAGCTCTTGGAGGTGACTGGGTTTTGTGAGGGCCTCATAGCTGACTTGTGGCTAGGAGGCAGGGAAGCTTCTGGTCAAGAGAGCGGTGGGGCGGCCTACAGGGCTCAGCCTCCTCCCAGGGCCTCCCTCTTTGCTTCGTGTCCGCCACTCCTGGAGCAGCTTCTCCTACGCTGTGATCGCCTGCCATGGCGGTCTTGGAGTCTGCTAACTGTGGACTTTCAACTACACAACTGTGAGCTGAACACGAACCTCCCCGTTTATGTTGCAGGTGTCAGATACTGTGTCTCAGGGACAAGATGGTAGCTAAAGAGAGTTCCCTACCATCCCGATGCTTTCTTTATGTGTATGCGGCTCTGGATTCTCAATAACTATTTTTTTTTAAAGAAAGTAGTATAATAGTACATTTAAATTTACCTAATAAAGATTTGGCCCAAAATTCTAGTAACATACTCCCTGATTTGAGTTGTCCTTAGTCAAAGTCTTCTCTCATAAGTTGTTTAGTTTCTGAATATATTATCTAGTTTTCCACACAGTTAAGACATTTTATCTTTATTATAGTCAATATAGAATTTTAAACTAAAATTCACAATGATATGTATAATATCAAAGAATATATATGCAAACAAAATTATAATATTTTAAAATTTAACCAAAGTAGAAGTCCTTAAGCTGCTTTTTGAAGGCAAAGAAGCCATGTATTCACCATCTTTTTAATATATACAGTTCAAGAGAATTCAACCCTTTAAAACATTTTTCGTTCACTCAAACATATTACACAGAAAGCACTCACACGAGGAACCAGATAACTCAGCTCATGTGATAGGAAAGTCAGATAACCTTCATCATCTACGCAGTGAGTTGGAAGTGATCCTAACCCTCCTTTGCAAATGAGCTCACTGAGGCACGGAGGTACGTGCACCGCGGGCTGCGGTCACCTGTCTGCCCCTACCTCACCCTCCCCAGTGAGTCTCACCTCTCTGTTTATGGAGAGGCAAGCTTGCCAGCAAAGAGAACCATACTGTTGAACCTCTCCCTTATAAAGAACAAGAAAGGACGATTAGCTAAAAACTGATGTCGAATGGGGAGTCTTTTTACAGCGATGTTGTCCCCAGTGGCTGCAGCTGCCTCAGTGCCTTCTTCGTTGACATCCACGTAGGACTGGTGAATAACTTTTGATACATATAGGCCCTTGTCTGGCGACATTCCAGAGAAATCAGCTCTGGCTGGCTCGAAGATGTCTGTCATCCCTATGGATTTTAGCAGAGAATTTAATTCGTACTTGATTGCAAGTTTGAATCGGGGGATGTGCACCTCCACTTCTCTCTCCACCATGTTGGAAGGGTTGGTCCACTCCCGAAACGTCCTCACATTCAGCTGCTTTTCTATCTGAGAGATGAAACACACGTGAGTCCCAGAGTCAAATGCATGGGTTTTTCATTATTGCATTTACTTTTATAATTCTCAGTGGGAATGGTCCAGTTTCATGGCTTTCTTTCCTATCTTTAAAGGATGCTCACTCCTCTCTAGGGAAAAAGAAAACATGCTAAGCGACAGCTTCCCTTTTCTGTTGTCCACTTCTCATCTACATTTCATCACTAAACTTCTCGTATACACTCTTGATTCCTTCACATTTCACAGTGAAGGCCTCTTCTTATCTCCCTTGCTTCCTGGATGAATTCAAGCATTTCTTCTTGGAGCTCATATCTGCAACATGCAATCATGCCCTTCTTAATGGATTTGGTCCTCATTCGTTTTCCTGAGATGTAAGATCCCCTTATTCCACTCTGACAGCTTTTACCTCTTCCTGCCTTCGTCATTCTGTCTGTGATGCTGCTCCTGAAACCGAGCTCATGGTGCCCAGCACTCCCCCAGATATGCTCGGGTTTTCCAAGCAGCCTAGGCAACCCTGCCTTCTTGTTCTCCATCCATTCTCAGCATTTTGTCAACCCTAGCCCCCCCACCATCATGCTGTGGCCATCCCATAATTCTAGCACAAAGTTAAAAATGTTATCACCTCCTTACCTAGCCATACAAAATCCTGTATTCCATAAAGGAAGAATTTCTTCCTTCGTCCCCTAATCCAAGGTACCATGGCTTGCTGACATGAGTTCCACAGCCTGACACATTTCTAAGACTTTCACGCGGATGCTTTGGTCTGCCTACAACAACAGGGTCTTCACTTTCAACTCACCCAATAGCACTGTGTCCAGATGATTATGATAAACCTTCCCCTAATTTGTACACTCTCTGCTTCCATAGCACCTTCTGCACAATTTAAACTGCTCCGGGACTGCTTCTATCCTATCTTCCAGATTATCTTCTACTCTAGCTGATCACTAGTCTCCAGAGCCTAAGCCCTTGAACTGCCTACACACGCAAGCACCCCTGTTCCCATGGGAATGAGCATATTTCTCTTCCTACAGTTCTGTCTCGCTGATGGACACATCTTACTTCCTAACTGAAATGCGAACATGCCAGCCCACCTCTCTCAGGAAGCCCTGCCTACATTCCCCACCCTACCGATCTGCACTGCTTTCAACTCTACCTCAGTTCCTGCCAACTTAGAAACTGATTGATTTAGGAAGACAACACTATGCATTATAGCAAATATTGTGAACTTCATATTACTTTGTTAAGTGAAAATCTGCATAACGTGCTATTTTTTCTGTTTTAATTCTAATTTGTACTCTCTTTGTTTTTTATTTTTATTTTTATCTTTTTTT